CTACTGTCCCAGTGTAATGATTGATAAGGCCCCCATTCGTACTAAAAAGTGTTCTGAATAAGACAAAAAAAATTATGGTCAGACCCAGAAAAAGCTTCAGATACTGAAGCTGATGGAGAGGAAAGCGATAAAACAAACATTGTGGAGTGGCTGGCCCACCTCTGGACGATTTACCTCCCCATTTTGATTTTAACTAAACAGCGAATGTTTCATGTGTAAACCTATATTAATCCAGTTTTCTGCTACTTTCAGCTAAAAGCTTCAACTCAGGAATTTTGAAATATAGTTAGAGCTTGACCATTACTTTCAAACTAAAGCCTTTTCAAGTTCTGAAATTTTTGGATAAGTTTTTCTTTTCTGTAATTCCTGAATTGGCATGATAATTACTGAAATGTTGCACAGAAGGCTTATTTTGTGGTATTTCCAATAGGAACCAGAAGTGGAAGTGTCAAAACTCTCACCAGAAAGCTTGTTATGAGATGTTCTGCCCAAGCTGGCAACTCCAGGTGGTTTGGAAAGTATAACTAAGAGGTATAAAAAAACTTTCCCCAGTTAATCCGATTTTCCAGCTTTTTGCATTTCAACTTTTCCCAGCAGACAGTATGCTTCTCACAAATCTTTAAGGCTTAATTATAACCTTTTCACTTATTTTGTTTTAAATTCAAAGGAAATTGTCAATGAAATCCTGGAATCCTGGAGGAAAATGTAACACTTTGCTGTCTATTACATTCGAAAGGTTTATTGGTCAGATCTGCATATAATGAAGAAAAAGTGCTGAATATCTAGGAAGAATTAAATTTTAGTAGAAGTAAAAATAAGTCATTAAAAACATATTTATTTATTTATTTATTTATTTTTCATTAAAAGCAATTAAAGGTTAAGTAACAAATTTATAGAATTAATTCCATGACAAATTGCACACGTGTCATCTGGTATAATGTCATATTACAGAGGGTCTCTCATCTTCTACTTCCCAAAGGACAACTGAACCATAGGATGATCCAGTTATGACCCTAGTTAATTAGTACTAATTCTGGCTGATGGAAGACTTGCATATGTTTGTAATAATTTGATTAAATTTGGGATAAGTTTCTAAATGATCAAACAGGTACTTTTTAAACATGTTTTCCTTATAAGTTTCATTTTCCAAATAGTCTTTCTCCTCAATCCCATGTGTTGCTTCTCTCAATAGTCTTCATCACTTAATCTGAACACATCTCATCAAGGTGCAGGCCCCTTAACCAACATGACTTCCCTTTAGAATTAACTTCACCCAAGGTTGCTAGTCTGTTGTGCTAA